CTAAAGTTCTTCACCTGCTTGACAAAGATATAGAGGAGGGGGTCCATACTCTAGAGAAAACTATAATATGAGAAGTCTTATTTACCCTTTCACCTGCAGGAGTGACCAAAATGAGATTCTCCTGATGTCATTGATAAAATTGCCAGCAATGAGGTGGGAAGAAGACAAAAATATTAACTAGAGTATTACATTTGATTAAATACCACATTCTCAGAGCTCAAATTATAGGAAACATATAGATGATTGTGCAGAGAATTTATAATTAGATTTTCTGGGTGAAGGGGTCGAAGTAAAATTGCAGAGAGTTCTCATAGCACTGCCATAAAATAATCAAAAGACATTTTTATTTTGAAACTTTAAAGTCTTGTGAAAGAAATACTCAATCTAAAAAAAGTCTGGGATATTTTAGAATACTTTCAGTCATAGCTCCACAGTAAGGGTCAGACACAGCATTCAAATTTCCTTCCAAACTCTTCAGCAGCAATTTTCTGTCATCACCAGGTTTAAAGTCTTTCATGGTCATGTAAATTGCTTTAAAGAATAGTTGCTTGTCATTGTGGTATACCCCTCTGTTACCATGAACTACTGAAATGCCTTTGTTGCTGGCTGGCCCACAGTTGTTTCCATACATGCAGTGGTCTGGTCGATAGTTCCAATCACATGTATATGTGTATAGTAACTCTGCAGAAAGAGAATTTCAAGGTTTTTATCAACAAATGCAGTGGTGGGTGGATTGTGTAAATAAAGCAAGTGGAGAAACATCCTACCACCAAAATAGAAAGTGGCTCAAGCTCAACAACTTTTCATCTTGATCTAACACCAAATTTCTCGCAATTAATTTCCTTGGGAATGTGTAGCAACTAGAATGGTGAATTAACTATCAGATCTTTGAAGTTGAAGGGTTATGTTATTAAGCACTGAAAAGTTCAAAGGTGTTTTAAAACTGAATGTTGATGGAGGTAGTAGATGGTGAAAACAGTCATGGAGCTTTAAAGCATGAGTTTGCCTGCAACACTCTGTATTTGTTGGAAAAGTTATTAACCCATCAATCAACATCAGATTTTGTGTCTTCACTGTCTTATGATCATACTAACTTTGGACAACTGAACAAATTTGTTTTCAAAAACTTCATTATATTGAATAAATTAACTAAAACAACTAAACTTTGACTAAACAAAGAAAGAAATTACGCCATAGAAACTATTTTTGCTAACCCTTTCAATACAAAGATCTCATTCATTCAGTTATTTTAATTCATTACTGTCTACCAAAGAATTCTTAGGATATAGTTCTAAGAATTTGGCTTTGGATCAACTAATAATCCCCTAATGCTATTTTTATAAACCCTCTTAACTTGTCTGCTCAATACCGTGGAACCTTGATTTAACAAAGTGACAAGGGACTGGGGAAATTGGTTCATTATATCGAGGATTTGTTATATCATAAACCTCAATTTAACAAATCTGCGGAAGAATAACCAAATTGATTGTGATATTGAGGGCTAGTTAATAATTATTACTTTTCATTATTGTTATTTTTTTAAATATTTTTTTTTTGTGGTGTGATGTCACACCACCCAGCACTTTGGGATTGGAACAGTTACTGTAAATAACATTTGTGCTTTAATGTCTATTATGATGCTACAGTACACTGTACAGGTCTGTTCAAAGCTACAGCTCCTTGTTTTAAAGCAAGGAAGTGACTGGCAAACAGAGAAACAATGACAGATTTTGATTCTTGTTGGTCTGCTCACATTTCAAAAGACACATGTTGACATTTGGGATATGTTATATGTTTGGGCTTCTGGGTTGTGTTCATTGTAACAAGGATTTTGTTATATCGAGGTTCATTATACCAAGGTTCTTTCCTATACATTTTACAATAACTTTGGCCGGGCTGAAGAGCATTGTTCATTACACTGAGGACTTTGTTAAATAGAGGTTCGTTAAATCAAGGTTCCACTGTACGGTAGTGATATTGAAGGAGAAACATTGTTATGGTCAGGTATAAGAGTTAAAGGATTAAAACAGTCATGTAGTACCAATAAAATGAAGTATTTACCAGGGTGATCATGGAAGACAATATTCAAGAGATCTTGGTCTCCCCATGTTATGCTGAGTTTGTACTTATGGTATGCTTCTAGAATCTTTTTAGTCCAGTCGAATTCCCGCATTCGTGTCAAGTTCATGAGCATTACTCCAGAGTTCATTCCATTTTTCCCATAAAAAGGATGACGAGCAAACCTTGGATACCAGGAGAGTGCTTTTTCTTCACCCTCTGGAGCCATTGAGGCAAGCTGTTTATCATCAAAATGGTTAAAATGGTCCCAAAGATTTTCCACTGGTCTGAGCATGAGAACATCAGTGTCTAAATACAGGACACTATCAACAGAATGCAAAACATCCTGGGAAAAGTAAAAAAGAAAAAAACATGAAAAAAGGGGAAAAGGCAGCACATCTTTACTTGATGTGTGGAAATTTGTCAGAAATGTTATTCGGAATTTTGCGTTCGCCTCAGTGAAGGAATCTATGAATTTTTTGTTGCATATCTTTTTTTCCCTAGGCTCAATCGTTTGACTTGAGTAGGTATGAGAAAGTGAAGTGTGTAAGCTGCAGGAGAAATCTATGCTTCAGCAATCTCACTTGCTACTCAAAATAAAGAGTTTACTGATAGGGTTGTGAAATATACTTACCAGAAGAAATAATCTTTGTGCTGCACATGGCTTGAAAAGTCGTTTCCACACCTCAACATTTTCTCCAGGAGGAAAGTGTAAAGAGTAAAGTTTTAATAAGACTTGACCAGATTTAACAGAGGACCATTCCCTGAAAATGTTTTTTAGTTCAGCATGAAGGTTATCTTCTGCAACAACATGAAATTGTATAGTTCTATTTGTGAATAAAGTGGTTGACTTGAGCATTGTTGTTGCTTCCACAGACCGCTCTCCACAAATCACAGAACTTACGTGGATATTAGAAGAGAGTGAGGTGAATATTCTGTGGAGAAAATACAAAATATTTAATCATTTAACTCCTATCAGTGACTAATATCTTATTTCTCCCTAACATATCACCCTTGTATCAAACATTAAGGTCATGAGAATAAAGGAAATCATCACCTATTAAAGCTCTTGATTGTTAAACAAATTCTCCTCATCCGCTCTTAAGGAAATTTATAGAGAGCAGTATAAGGAGAAGATGCATGCCGATGTTTAGGGAGTAAAGGGTTTAGAAAGCTTGATTTCTGTAAGTTCTTGGCCAAACTGTACGCATACTTCTTAGTTTTAGATTTAAAAAAAACCTTGATGACAAAGATTTACTTTTCTTTTTAAGCTGGAGTTCAGCGAAGAAGCGAACCAGATTACATCAAGTAAATTTAGTAAGCAGCATACTATATTCACTGAACTATACCAAATAAACAACTCAGCTTTACCCGACATCAAACCTGGCTCAACGCAAAAAAAAACTTAGAGGAGTTTGGTTTGTGAAGTTAATTTTTTTTCTTAATTTGTAAAATCCCTCATTGTGATCTTTACCTTTTAGTCGGTTTATAGTTGATCTGTTCCCTTTCAGGTTCTGATTTTCTTTTCGATGGGACTGCTTCGTGGACTGTCGTGACATGATTATTAATACCATCGTAACTAATTGATGACTCTTCAGCGTTTGGTAAAATATCTGCATCGGTTTCCTTTACATAAGAAATTAACAAAACAAATTCCAAAAGTACTACGATAACTAAAGCTATGCCGAGTGCCACTGCTACCTTGGAGAGAAATTTAAATCCCATCTGAGGTTCATGGCGTGAAAAGACAACACCTGAGCGGAAGAAAAGCGGAAAGTAAACATCTGACTTAGTAGCCGTTTCTACTTTGTAACCACACCTTGGGCAAGTTTCGTTTACGCTTCACATGGAGTCGTGATGTTTCGGCCAGAACGAGTCGAATTTTGCCAAAATTAGCCATAAGGTAAGATCATTTTTCTCTTGAAATGCCACCAAATGTTAGTTTTCAGTCTCAATTTTTCTTTTATGACCGTTTTTTCGTAAAAATAACGTAAAAGGTGAAAAAACTTGCGCGACTCATATGCAAAGAAGGCAACGTGTAGGCCTCATGAAAATGGCTTGGTTTTCCCGCTTTAGGAAAGTGCTTCATGTTCGCTGTTTTATCTGCCTACATGTGAGTTAAGAGGCGATACTCAACCTATTGAACCCCCTATGTGAAAAGTGGTTGTGAAACACCGTGTTTTCTCTAAGTTATAGAGGCGTTATATAACGATTTGGGTTTTCAGTGAAGCTGGAAGCGCCAAATATGCAAAATTTCGTAACGTTTGCCATGGCTCGCCGAGGGCACGTGTGTTAGCGTGGGAATCGATTTCTAGGCCATCTGACGTCTTCGAAGCAACATATTCAGTTCGATTTACATCTTTCGATGTTCCGAAAAGAAAACGTTTTCGATTCGTATTTGTATCTACATCTGTACTTTAAAAAAGCTATTTAAGTGCTGCAATGGCTTCTAGTTAAACCTACGGTGTACTACTGAGTAGCTAGATCACAAGACCTGTTATTTGCCACTGTTTTCTAACAAACTAACACTCCTTTCCTTCTTAATTTCAAGTCAGAAATTGTACAGAGTGTATACCACCCTTGCATGGTCTTAAAATAGTAAAATGCCCTTAGTCTTTTTTTCAAGTAGTTCCACATGGGAATCAAGGGCGAGCTGCACTCCACATAGTTTTGCAGTATTATTTGACCCTCTGTATCTCTCTGCAAAGTAGAGGAGGGTATGAGCTATGTTTAAATTACAGAAAAACATGGCTTCATAGTTTCAGGAACTTTTACCAGTTTAGCTGAATCATTTAGCCAGAAAGACAGTGACATTTGGAATATGAAGGTCCTCAATTCAACCTAAGATCATCTTTTGAGTTATTAACCTCACTAGAGATGTATAGTCACTTGGTACAGCCTTGTCTGCACTCTTCAAGTGGTTCTCTACTCTCAAACCAAAGGTTTGAAATTCTGATTTCATGTCAGCTCAGTTATACTTACTGATCTGTCCCTTACACCTGCCAGAAAAATTCAAATCATCATAGTTGTCTTTGACAATTTTTTTCTATGCTCCTTAATCACCATGAGCAAAGATAAGTCCATAAAAGTAATTCTAACTTTGCAAAAATGTTCAGCTCTTGAAGCTAAGGGCTTGTGACACCAATTTTCGTAACAGCTTTAGAAATACAGCATATTTAAGAATTTTCAGATCTCTTTGGATGCAATAAGGTTCTCCAGGAAGAGTGCAAGAAATCTGAGAGGAAAATCCAACATGTTTGACTCAAAAAATAGTTAGGAGGTCTACATGCCTGTTTATATTTCATCTTAACTGTTATCTTTTTTTAGATCTTGTTCAGCCTATGAAGTACCTTCTCCAGCTGTGCGCAGGTAATAGAGAAGTTCAAAAATAGTTTACTGTGGACCAAGTTAAAGATGCAGAAAGAAGGGCTGAATATAGAGACTGCAGATTACCTCACCTCGCTCCTCCAGAGGTATGATGCCACAGAGGGTGGACTCCCCCCACAAGCAATTCTTGCACCCATACCAGTACCTGTTCAGAGAGAAAATCCAGGACCACCATCTCCAAATGAGTTTCTTGTGCCAGCTGTGATACTTTGGGATCCTCTAAGCCAAGTCCCCAGCTTGAAAGAGCTAGCATGTCCACATGAAATCCATGATAGTGAAGTTTGTCCATTAAGAGCCCATACCAGCAACAAGAACAACTATGGGCGATGGAAGGCTTCTAGAGGAACTCAAGATATTCCAAGAGCCCTTTATTGCTGTGATGGTAACACACTTTTGGTGAGTCGCCTGTACACTTGCAAGAAAGGTCATAAGATCATCTCTCACGATCCACGCCTCATGGAGAACATCCCACCAACATTTCAAATCCCATTCTACCTGTTACACAGAACAGGTTTCACGCATGAGTTGGCCACTTGGGTGCATTCGTGTGTATTTGCTGGGATGTCATTTCATGAAATTGAGGAAGTTTTGACGCAGAGGCATCGTGATGCATATGAAGAGCGTAAATGCAAATATGATGCAGCAGTTAAGGCCTATCTTGAAAGTAATCCTGATGATCACACTGAAATACGTACATTTCCAGAATTCAAGACTTCACAAGTGCCATCACTTGAGACCACCATGTCAAGCATTGTGCACATGTTTGAGGGTAACGAGCTATTCTATATACAGAGGATGAGCGAATGGCCAGCTAAACGCATCACTGCTGGCTACTACTTCAAGGTGGCCACAACAATTGGAGAAAAACTGGAAACAGCTGGCAAATGGATCACCCACTTTAAAAACATGTATACTGTCATGAACGAGAAAGGTCAAATCATCGCATGGAAGTTTACCAAAGAGAAGGATCTGAGTGAAGTGAAAGACATCTTGATTGGATTGCAGCAACGTTTCCAGATGCAGGGCAGACAGCTGGAAATGATTCTTGTGCCAGAATGTTGTGAAACAAGAGACCAGTTTAGTGAAATATTTGGTGCAGATGTTCCTGTCAAATTGGAACTTTCTAAAGCTGTTCATCGAGTTGTCAGGAAAATCCCTGCAAAGAAAAGAGAAGAGCATCAACTGACTAAAGCTTGTGTTCGCGACTTTGCCCTGGCCTTACGTTATCCAACAGACCGCGGGGACATTCGCCATCAGGAAACTCCTCCACCTGGGGTTGTCACTGAAAACCTTGATGCTTTTGTGGAGGGCTGGAAGGAGATCATCGAAGGGAATGAGCGCATCTTAACTCTGGCAGCTCAGAGGCAGATCATGCAGCTACGAACTCATGTGGAAGGAGGATGTTTGTCAGATATTCCACCCTCTCAGGGAAGTGAAAATGTTGACGAGCTGCACAGCATTTTAAAACCTGTGTTGGAAAGAAAATTTCTGAATGCTGACATGGCACTAGCCCTTATTTCAACACTTCTGTATGTGTGGAATGAAAGGAGAGCAAATCAGCTTCCCAAAGGAGCCCTTGTGCGGCCAATCTCAAAGTACCGAGGTACTTTAGAAGTCAGTGGATTCACACCAAGTGCAGAAAGATTTGGGATTGTGAAGAGTGATGAAAATGATGGCAATGATGTCACCTCCTCTGCCAATTATTCATTTGATGTTCTTGCTCTGCAGTGCCTGATACTGGATGCCTTTGGCGGAAACAAAGAGCCAGAGATAGAGCAAAAAGGCACTGACAATGGCTTAACCCAGAGTGTCCTTAAGAAAGTAATTGCTAAAGCCTCAAATTTATTTTCAGTGTGGGAGATCCTCAAGACACAGGCTGTACATGATGTATCACTCAACCCCCGACTTATGCACCTGATGGCTTGTTCTTTGATCCTTTTCAGTCGCAATGAATGTGCAATCGATGACCGAGCTAACCATGAAGTACGTCTCAATGAAACACTGCGATATTATCAGTTGATGGTCTTCTCAGAAAAGAAGGACGCACCGGAGGCAGATGGATTTTTTACAGCAGTCAGTTCAGGTCTTAACTCTATACTAAGAAGTGATTTGCCAGAAACTGAATCAGTTAAGCAACATCTTGCTTCCATTGGATACAATACTCATGAAGGCAGCAGTCTGGAGGAAAATGTCTTGGTTCTGCGACAGTTGATTAGTGATGAGTGGCTTACATGTGAAGAAGAGTATAGTAAATTACTGGTGTCGCACATGATCAGCTTTTCTGAAGAAGCCCAAGCCTTCAGAGAAAGAGGATACTTCAAAGGTATAAAATCTTTACTTACAGTTACACGTTTAAAGTAATGTAAAACAGTCAGTTCAATTTTAGTATCTGAGCAACTGAGCATACACCTACCCCTCTCCTAGTCAACTGTTTGGTAAGGGGAGGGGGGGAGGGGTAGGTGTGCAATTGCTCAGTTACTTACATTGATGCACTTAGTCAAACCTATAAGTGGCACCCTTGGAAATAGCAAGTGACTGGTTACGTGTTATAGACCTCTGAAACAATTGAAATGCATGTCCTTAACAAAATTCCAACTAATGGATACAGTGTTTAGGTGACAAATGCTGTAAGGTGTTTTAAGTAAGGTTAAACATTTCTTTCTGTTAATAAAGCAAACAGACATTTCCAGAGAGTTTACTGCATCTAATCTTATTTTCAATCCATTTTAGCTGAGATGTCCAATCTTCTGCCAATTGCTGCAGCAAAGGTTTTAAAAGTGCCAGTAATAGTGTTCACTTCCCTGCAGCAGTTTCCAATTGTGCCAGTGGTACCATCAGATGCTATCATTATTGGTTCCTGTGTGCATGTTGCTTACAATGCAGCTGGTTTTGGAGGGTTTTATGATGTTGGCACTTACGTTAGCAACTCCATTGTGCTACCAAAGCTGATGACTGATCCTTTGGAGAGGCGCAGAGATAGCAGGAAGCGTTACAGGGAGAAGATGGCATTGATGAAAATTAATCAGCCTGCAAGAAAGAAAGGAAAGAAGCCAAAAACACCAAGTTCACAGAATGACAACCAGAAAGAAAATGAAACACCAGCAGATCCAAATGATTCTGTTACTTCACAACAAAGTGAGGATTTGAATGGCTCTGCAGTTGATGGTTTGGAACATGAGACCTCCGTGAATGCGGCAGTTCAAAACACAGGTGGGGAGACTTCACTGGATACATCAGAGATGGAGAATGCTACAGATGAAGGAGTAGAAGCTGCTGCAAACCTCATTGAAATGGCATACAGTGAGGCAGGGGTCAGTGAGGAAACCATGGAAGAGGCTATTGCAGACAGTGTTATTAAAGATGACATCTTACCAGCAATGGAATCAGCTGCTAATGAAGACCAGGCAGTTCCATTGCAGACAGCAGACCCTCAAGAAGACCAGACTGTCATGGATGATGGTGAAACAACAACTGAAGTGATATCTGAGAAAGACCCCGTCAAAGAAAGTGTCTCTGAAGTTGTCACTGAAGATGCAGCTACTGAAGCTGTAGCAGAGGATGCAGTCAGTCCATCAGTTAATGGTGAAACCCAACCAGACCGTGTAGAAGGAGGAACACCTGCACAAGAGGCAGCTGTTAATGCTTCTAACAAGTCTGAAATCATGATTACACCCACGTCTAGCAGCAAGGCCTCTGTTCAGGGCACAGAAATGGTTTTGACTATCCAAGAGGGTGTGAACATCCAGAAACAGACCTACTCCTGTAGCTGCGGCAGAGGAAGTGGAAAGAATGTGAAACGCACTCAGTTCTGCTTGACTCTGGAAGGTGGTTACCTGACACGCTGTGCCTGCTATAGGAATGCATCTGGTTGTTCTCACAGATGTCGTTGCTACCTTTGCTGCAATCCATATGGCACTGCTGAGGCTGCAAGGGCTACCAAGCCACCTCGCCAGGTCCGGCGTTTCCGGCCAAGACACAAAGTACAGGTGATTAAGAGTCGCTTTCCAAGTCTTACATTTGCCAGCACTATCCCTAAAACTGAGGGTATCCAACTTGGATCCAAGTGGTTAGAGGTTGACTGCATGGCATTTGAGTGCCTCATCGCAGCTATGAGTCATGCTGGATTGGAACTGACTCCAGAGAAAATTGCTCTAGAGTTTGAGAGGCTTTGTAACATGTCTAAAGATGATGGAGGGATCTTAGGGAATGCTATACAGTCAAAAACAATCGTTGACATAACTCAGCAGCTAGAGGTTGTACAGAGGAATATCCGCACATTTGAAAACTTGTACAAAAAACAAACTGAACTGAACTGGTTTCAAGGGATGGAAGTGGTGTTCTCAACAGAAGTGGTTGTGTCTTCATAGCTCAAAGAAAAGCTGAAACAGCAGCAGCACGTCTCAGACGAGAAAGGCTGGGTTAAATATTAGTGATGGACTGAGAAAGCTGATAAGGATAGTACATGTCCATTTTGCAGGGGGTATCCTTGCAGAATACTACATAGGAGTACTTAGCTGTTTGCCTTTCGCATGGTTAGTTGGGAGGGTAAGTGTTCAGGGCTCAGGTCTCAGGGTAAAGAATCCTATACTAACTTTTGCTGGACACCTAACCCCAGCCCCCTTGTTTTCACCAAAGGATGTTTAATCATCTGATTTACACTGCATATTATCAAATAGTATTCAAATTGCTGCTATATTTTAGTAACTTTAAGTCTGGTAGATGCAACAACTTAGAGAGGTACCACTGACAAGGTCATAAAAATGCTCAAAAAATCACTCAGTTGAAACTACTCTATCTCCAACTGTATTCAATTTACCTTTACATAATTATTCTGTCACAACTGTTACAAATATTATTGCAGTTTCTAAGTAACAGATTGGTTTACAACAGTTGCTGAATGTTAACGACAAGTTCAGCTCAATTTATTTCAAAAGAGCTTGATATTGTTGAGCACAAGAAAAATTTCATGAATTTAATGATGTGTAGCTTCACGGTTGCAGTCAGTTTAGCAATGGTGTGTGCAAGAGGAATATACACATTTTATATGTGCATTCTATAGGTCAGAAACTGTTTTGATATCACTCTTTATAGTTATTTTCAAGTGTAAGAAGATACTGAAACAACATTTGTAATTAGCCTTTTTTTTTTACTTTACTTCTGTATTAGAGGACTAGAGCATGGATGTGACAGATTAGTAACTTTTGCCTTAAAACAACTTCACTTTTCAAATCCGACTTTTAAGGGCTTGGCACTCTTGAATTCCAAGACAAAAGCCTCCAGGCACTCAGTGATACTTGTATTATAACAGCTGTAGACAATTCATGTAAGTCAAGCACTGAATTATGAAAGTTAATCAAAGTGATTAATTAGTTACTAAAGTGGGTACCAAATGGGTGATTGTTAAATCTCCTAAATTGACATGAAATTGCACCTATTTTTAAAAGGTGTTGCATGTTTGATATGAGCACGTCAGTCTTAAGATTCACCTAATTACAAATTTGACTTTGCATGTGCTTTTCTTGTTTTCAAAGATGATTATTTACTGCACATCACAATCCATAGGAAAAACCTCTTTAACCCTTTAACTACTACATGTGACCAATACAGAATTTCTCCAAAAAATATCAATACAAAATCAAACAGACAAGTGATGAGAAGAAAAAAATATCAATCTGTGGATTATTTAGTTAATCCAATACCAAATTCTCAAAACTAACATCAGGAATTTTAAGGCAGACACTAAGGAGAACAACTTATGAGATCTTGAGAATGAAAGGGTTAAGGAGAACAGTTTTGTCAGTTGGTTGTGAAGATGCTTTTTAAAGAGATTTCTGGTAGCTTTAAATAGCAATAATGTGTGTCCTCAACAATGTTACTGTAGCATGATGATTTAAGTAAAGCAAAAACTTACATGCTTGGGTGAAGTGGTCATATTGTGTTGTAGTTTTCAACATTACTCTTTTCTACTCAGAATGACTACTCATTCTAGTTTACATGTAGTTTTAAGAGTTTGGTTGACATTAAGGTATTATTAAATAAAATGAAAAAGAAAATCTCTTCAAGCATTTGAAATTATATTACGTCATTCCCTTTTACTCTGTTTTTTTCTACCTGATCTTCAGGATTGTAAAAATTATTTTATTTTCCTATTTCACAAAGTTAATACACTATACTACAACCATGTCTTCCCACTTCTGGGTTATATTGTCTATGAATGTCATAACATCTCCTGCCACTCTATCTTGCAATCCCCTCCTTATGTACCATGTACTCTCTGCTGGAATTTTCATAGGGTGACAACTGAGAAATCTTCTCACTGCCAGAAAAGAATACTTGCAGCCATAGCTAAGCAACAAACAGCTACGTATGGACTTTTTCTTTCACCTTTTGGAAAAATAACAAAAGATCAATTTAATGGTCACTAGCAATTAAAACCCAATCAACAACCTCTAACTTCACAAGTTTAAGAAAGTGAACAAAGTTTTCAATTGGCTTGAACTGTTACCAGAAGCATACAATACTCAGTGCACAATTGTAGTCAATATCATGATGTATAATTCATGATTTACATTCTCTTGGATTCCTTAACTCTTTTAGTCCTTACATGAGTATTTAAATGTTCCATACTGTTCTCTATACATTTCCTAGAGTCTTGACAAGGAGAATATGCTGCTAAAGTTTGCCTTTGAAGTAATTATCATTAGGAGGGTTGTTATTTCTGACTGAGATCATTAAGTTGTAGCTGTTTATTATAACCCTTCCACCCCTATGAGTGACTAGCATCTAATTTCTCCTCACAATATCACCAATGAAATAAATATTTTATGTCAGGAGAATAAGGGAAATGATCACCAACTAAAGAAGCTCTTTAACCCTTTAACTCCCAGATCAAATTTGTCGTTCTCCTTACTGTCAACTATACAATTCTTGTAATGTTAGTTCAGAGAATTTAGCATTGGATCAACTAATTATCCCCAAATCAATATTTTTCTTTATTCTCATCACTTATCTAGTTGATCTTGTATTGATATTGTAAGGAGAAATTCTATCTTGGTCATTCATGGGAGTTAAAGGGTTAATGTACAACAATTTCTCCTTGTCAGCACCTTAGGAAATGTCTACAGAACAGTATAGAAGATATGCATGGTGATGTTAGGTTGTAAAGGTTTAAATTATCATTAACAAGTAAAAGTTTTCCATTTGTTGCACATTTTTTGGGGGCTAATTCTTAACGCAACTTTGAAAGGTTTTCTTTCTTTAGGTCTAAACTTACCAATTCTTGCTGCTTTCCAAAAGATCCCTAATAACCTATCCAAGAGAAAAAGGAAGATTCCAGTAACTGACCAGTTCATGCAAATTGTCCCTTTCTTGAGATCCTTCAGGAATTCCAAACTGGGATGTTAAAGTTTTAACCTCCTACATAAATGTTTATCTCATAATCTACTGACCACTGTTGCTAGGAAGCGAAAGAAAGCTTGCTTCTATCACTCAATGTCTGTCGTAATGCTGATAATTTACATTTGAAGCATATAGACAATTCCACTACCTCTAGGGAAATTTAAAGGATAAAATTATTTCTGTAGTTCTATTTGTGTTTTAATGGACCTTGACTATGTTGTCACCATAAAAATGCAAAAATGCAACTTGGTCAGCATCTCGCCGGCTTAACCTTAAGCTTGGTCAGTAGCAACTTTTCCAAAATAATAAAATAAACTGGAGGCTTCATTGGTCAATTCTTTAATAACAGAACATCATTTATTAACAAAATATGATGATTAGGAAAGACTGACCACATTTCCCTTTGTTAAAGCCAAATTTTAGAGTTGGAAAGGAATTTTTCCGTCTATTAAGAAAGAAAACAATTACCGGCCCTGTGTCTGTGAATCATCATTCGCTTGTGATAAGGACAGACGTGATTAGCCCCCAAGCTCCAGCATTCACATACACATGTTTAAAAATGCATTGTACTTGCGCAGTTAACGTAAATACCAAAATTTTTTGTTACAAACGCACTGATGTATCAAGGACATCTTCATTGTCAAATTCACACTAAAATGAAAGGAAAGTGACATTTTAGCGTAAAATCGTGTTTCCGACAAATTCCACGTCATCACAGACACGGAGCCGCTGGCATGACACACTGGCGTCACTAATCACTCACTGTTGCTGTTTGAAACAGATAAAGGAGGCTCTAGGAGCAGCAAATTATTGCGATCGCTTACCCGTGTTTATTTTTGTCCAAAAGTGCCGGGTAAATCGATCGAATATAGGCACATGTACAAATTAGCAACAGTACAACTGTTAGGAGACTTTGGAAGTTGAAGATGGCAGACTGCGGATAAAACACAACAAATAAAATGGGAAAATGTTGTCTATGGACAATCCAAGAAAATGATCAGCCTATATTTTGGGAAATGATTTCTGCCTTACCATGTTTGTCTGCTCAAAATCCTCACTTCTTCAAGCCACAATACTGCTTTGATACTGATCTTCTCTCTTTGATTTTACTTACATGATGTACCATCTAACCAAATGCAACTCCGCTAACTTGTCTATAATGCGAACGAGCGGGGAATGGAGACAACCATGTGTAGCCTAAACCCAAGAAACCCACTTTTCTCCGCTTTCAAGGATTTGATATCTATTCTGATTTAGGAAAAAGTACGCGCCGAAGACGTGACTGTGAAGATGTTTAACAGCTTTTGTAGTATCGCGGCAAGAACTCCGAACATTGTATCTTCGGATCTACCGGGAATAATTTGCTGATTCAAGTAGTAAAATGCTTTCTCTTCACAGTAAAAATTTTTCCTCTTAGTTTTCATGATACGTCAATCACACTTGTTAGGATATTTCTGCAGGGAAAAATTTTAATTGCTTTAATCACACGCCATCTTGAAATGATTGTGAAATGTTTATCGTCTTCTGTAGTGTCACGGCAAGAACGGCAAAAATGACATTTTGGTGTATACTGCGCCCAATAATTTGTAGTAGGAATGTTGACCTACGAAGATACTCGGAAATAAACTATAGGTGATATCGGCTCAAAATCGGGTGAAGATCGGCATTCTATTGTTGCCATCACTCACTCATTTCGATGACGTATGTGGCTTCACCTCCTATAGGAGGCAATAGCCACAAAAAATGACCATTTCACATACACTAAACTTTACCTCACTTAAAACAGAACATATTTGACCCACTTCAACATCACACAACGAGATAGTCCACAAGCATGTCAGTTTAAGAAATTTTCTCCTCGTCTTAAATACGCCCTCGCAATGCAAGACAAAAAACCTTTTGCAACGTTTATTCACTTCATACAAATTTGACTTTTCCTCATTACAAAAATTATCTTCATATCTTTTCATTTGATTCTCTTTTCTTGTATTCTTAGTCACATCATCCCCACAAATTTTCTTTTAGATCTAAAACCGCCGGAGATAGGGCAGCTGTTTTAAATTGATAACAAGGAAATGGATGATAAAAGAATTCGTTTATTTAGGCCCTCTTCTTTCTTTCTTTCCAATTTTTGTGCTCCAAAGAGAGGCTAAGGTGGACCTATACTGAGTAGTTTAATGTCAAACAGTAAAGGCAGATGAAAAGGGAAGTGGGCGGTAATAAGGTTGAAATGGGAGGGGAGGGACGGGATCGTTCCAATACGCTCTTGAAATGTTGTCACGCTGCTTTTCGATTAAAGAAAAAAAATTCACTTCATGATTCTTAAGCGGGTCGTAATGTTTTTTTTTTTCTGTACACATACGCGCCGAATCCGCATTTATATTGCTCAGGAGCTGAAGGAAATGATTATTACTACCCCACAGACTGCTGGATCCATTAAACCAGATGTAATGTGTTCCACCTAAACTTGATGAGGGGTTTCACAGTAAGAGCTTACTATTTAACTCCTCTTCTGTTCTTTTTTGGTGTTCTCAATGTCGTTGATCATGCTTGCGATCTCACGCGCTAGGCTCCTGGTTTTGCTAAGTTCGGTTTCGCCTTCATCGGGCCTCAAGATCATCTCTCTTCGATGCACTGGTGCAA